CATCGTGCAGCAGCAGGCGGTCAATCATCTACGTACCTCAGTTTGTCGATTAATGCAGCGAAACTCATGTGAATTCAAGCGAAGGCAAGGCTGTCATGCCAAGTGATGTTGATCTCTCCCATTCATTCCAATTAAAATTGAAATAGTCAGGCAAGACAAGTCGTCTCTCGCGTGCGCGACGTCGCTCGCCGCGCATGCGAGGGACGAGTTGTTCTGTCTGGCCGGCTTGGCATGTTGTGATTGTCCTTCTCTGCTTGAACAGATCCTTAAGAAAAGGGTTCATACACTTGTCTACAAAGACAACTTTCAGTCAAAGGCCAGCAATGATCTACGTATGCGACTGGCAAAACAGCGCCATATTGATTTTGTCGTTAACAAAGTAGCTCGCCGTACAAATAATGGACGAACAAGAAGGCCGCTGACGATTTACGAGTGTGAGGAGTGTGGCAAAATAATTCGGGTAACAGTTGATTAGAATCTTGATCAATAATTTTGGCTTCTTTAACGCCTAATTCTTTAGTACCCGTCCAAAATCGAAGAACATCGCCGATCACACAATGGTGTAAAACCTCATCAGTGTCATCATTGTGGGCAACGATTCTCCCAAAAAGGAGGATTGACGTGTCATTTACGACTGCATACTGGTGGGTTGAACTTATTGCCTCACTTGACATTTTTTTTGCTGTTTATTCTAATGGTTCTCAGAAACCATGGCCTTTTTTCTGTAATGTGACGCATTTTGGTGCAGTAGTTCGTGCGGATTGCGTAAAGCGTAGTTTTGCACAAGGCGTCCTCTAGAATTACCCCACTTACCCAGAATTAATTCTTTTAATGTGCAAATGCTTGCCACGGTTTCAATTAAAGTCGTGTTCGTTGAAAACGCTGGGCGTTTCAGGGAGGGGGAGGGGGTTGGGTCAAGCGCGGCACCAGCCTGTACTGCTCCAATTGTGGTCGCTTGTGCTCACCTGCCAGCTTTCACAACTGATGGAAAAAAAGGGTGACGTGGTGCCAAACTCAGCCCCTCACTCCTGAAACGTCCCATCATCCGCAGCAAGTAAGACCATATTTTGAGTGTTCTTCTCCAAAATGCCTTGTTTTCTAAGAAATAGCTCGAAAGAACGCTTGCGTTCTAACGTATGTTGAGCAGGGACCATGGTGCAGTGCTCTCAGCGTCCGGCTCCCGATCGCAGGCTTGGACTGGTAGAGCGCAGACGACAAGCCGCGCCCGGGTGAGTCGGTTTTCAGCGCGCTCTATCCCTTGCAAAGAACAAAACCATCTTCTTGGCCTGCACCTGCACGCTTGCTTTTGTATCTGTTTAGGTGCTTGGCTGCCGTGTGTTGCGTGCCAGGAGGGCTTGTGCCGGCTCCGCTTGCAACTTTTGTGTCTGAGCGTTTAGCCTTTAGCCTGTGGTTAGAGAAGAGGCCCACGAGGACGTTGCCGCGTGAGGCTCAGCTCTTGCTAAGTTAGGTGAAAACATAAAGAATGTGCCAGAGATATTGCAGTAAAGTTCTCTTTCTTACTTGATCTTACCGTGACGGTATACTTTTTAGGAGAGCGTCCTTATCATTGCACTTGGGATTGCGGCAAATCTTTCCATTCGAATTCCGCTCTGAAAATGCACGAAAGAACTCATAAGTAGGTTCAGTTACTGTTTCGCTTTACTCATTGTCTTCCTTGACACTTTTCTTTTTGCCTTTTTTTCAGCGGTGATCGGCCTTATTCTTGTGAAGTCTGTGGAAAACTGTTCTCTAAACGATCTCATTGTCAACGACATGAACAGGTGAGTCGTGCAAGAGTGCTAAGGAAGTTGAATGTAAGGGAGGGAGTAGGGGCGCCGCGGTGCGACTGACAATGCTTGCCGAAGACGAGGATTCCTTCCGTCTACGGGCTTGGCCTAAGAGAGCGCAAATGACCAGAATGAGCGGGTTTAGCCTTGTGGGGTAACTCATCCGTCTCAATTGTCTGCGTGCCGCTCACTCAGCCAAAATTTCCCCTGGGCGTTACAGAAGTGTCGGATCAACGTTTTGTCCGAATTACGTGTACTTCTGGTAGGGGGTTTGTTCCGAGAGGTGTCCAGTGGTTTAGTATTCGAAAGTAAGGTCGCGCCTCATTCTTCTCATTAATAGCTATCGCCGCAATCAGTCGGGGCTGGGCTGTGCAAAGAGACATATAATAAGCCCACTCGCGCGTTTTCACTAATGGTTGTTTTCTTCCTAAATATAGCACTAACCGATCACTATTAGTGGAGAAAGGCAACCGGAGGCGAACTCATTCCGCCCATCCTGACTCCGGCCGGACAGATTGCGACGATATCAACCATATGTTTGCAGTCTGTCCATCCCCGAGAAACGGCTCGACGAGCTGCACATCAATTTGGACTTGCTGCAGCGGGAGATGATGAAGATCGGCTCCGTGATGTGGTGAATGGCGTTATTGAGGAGGTGCGGATAGAGCGCTCACTTCGAAGTGAATTAAAGGCCGAATTGGATTAGTTATGTTTTGATATGATCTCTTGCAAAAGACGTTGATCTGGCCTATGTGACAAGACAATCGTAATATGCCGCGCTGGTGGGCGTGGCGAGCGACGTCGCATCTCACGGACAAGTTTCTCTGCCTGGCCGTTTCAATGTGTCGAAGAGATGTCGCCCGTCATGGAGTCATGTGCTTGTTGAAATCGTATAAGTCACGATGCTTCAAGCACATCGGGAATTTCGTTTGCATGGCCACACGATATGCCGCGCGCGACGACGCGGCAACTTACGATTGTCTTGGCCGCCTTCCGTTGATGTGTTGCCAAAATCATGGCTCTTTATTTTTGTTTGTTGTGATTCTAGGCTATGTGGTTTCAAAATAACAATCACAATTGCGGAGCAGCGCGTGTTCCGTCACAGCTTTGTTTGGAGCATTTGGAGACACCGCACTGATTGTATGGGCGGGGCCGTACTGTGATGCGCTTTCCTTTTTGCCATTCGAGCAAGGGGGCTTCGGCAGTGACTAAGCCGACTCTGTCCACACCACCGACTAAGGAATGTGCCTTAAGCCTTCAAACTTCCCGACGGCAGTGCTTTGGTCGCGCGCGTTCGACTCGATGATGCCAGGTCGAAAGCATGCGCATCGATCGCGCCGAACGCGTGACCGAAGCGCTGTCGTCGCGAAGTCCTGGACGCTACCTTATAGGCTTACCATTGTAGTCCCAAAGCCGCACCCAACTAGTGCACTCAAAGCTTCAGAAGCCGTAGTGCGTACAGTGACCGTTGAAAATTCGTGCGCGCGGGCGGCAACGCGCGCACCTATTTTCACAAGATGCGTCCATATTATGTTCCGCGATTGTGATTGTCTATGTGTAGTGCCTTAGTGGAAGAGAGAAGCTTAGCTCGCTCACATTGCAACTACCTCCCAAATGGGGCTATATTCAGGTTCATTTATCAATTGTTGTTGGTTTTTAGTTGTTACTGAAAAAAGCAGTGATCTGCACAAAACGGGACTATTTCAGGATAGATTTTTCGATAAATGAATTATTTTGAGCCTTGTCTTTCCTTGCATGCTGTGATAAATTTTGCTCCATTGTATACCTTTTTGTTTATTTTGCAATTAAAAAATTCCATTGCTGAAGCTTTCTGCTCGGGACCATTTGATGAATATCCATTTTGACTGTATGCTATTAAATTTTGTACAAATATGAATGAAGTGTTGAAACTTTGGCAGAAAAGTTTGGCTGTGTT